AGTCAAAGGGGTGAAAGAGGAAAAGCTGCGATGAGACACACAGAATGAAGGAAAAGTCCCGATCCTTCCTCTCCTTGTTAAAAATAAGGATTCCTTTTATCCCAAAGCCGCTGTTTGCCGGGAGGGGCGGCCCGGGGCTGCTCCGCCCTGCCCGGGCACTGCCCACCGCCCTCACCGGGCTGCACCCTCGCAGCCTTCGCCCTGCAGAGGGCGAGAGAGGCCGTAAAAGCAGGGTGTGAGGAGATCTGTGTCCAGTTCTGGGATCCTCAGCACGAGAGAGACATGGAGCTCCAGGAGCAGGTCCAGTGGAGGGCAACAAAGTCGGTCAAGGGACTGGAGCATCTCTCTACACGGAAAGGCTGAGGGAGCTGAGCCTGTTCAGCCTCGAGAAGAGATGACTAAGAGGAGACCTCATTAATGTCTGTAAGTATCTGAAGGGAAGATGTCAAGAGGATGGATTCAGGCTCTTCTTGGTGGTGCCAAGTAATAGGTCAAGGGGCAGTGGGCAGAAACCGATGGATAGGAAGTTCCACCTGAACATGAGGAGGAACTTCTTTACTGTGCAGGGGACCAAGCACTGCAACAGGCTGCCCAGAGAGGTTGTGGAGTCTCCCTCACTGGAAATATTCAAGAACTATCTGGACACGATCCTGTGCCATGTGCTTTCGGGTGACCCTGCCTGAGCGGGGAGGTTTGACCACATGACCCACTGTGGTCCCTTCCAACCTGACCCACTCTGTGGCTCCATGACGTCCACTCCCAGAGCCTGTCAGGCCTTTCCCCCTGCCCACCTCCACCTGTCCCCAGCCTACTGAGTTGATGGAGCACGTATGGGTGTTCCAGGGCTGCTGCTGGTGGGTGTCTTCCACCCTGGAGCGTATCTTCAGACCCCACAGGTAGCAAGTTCTGGCCAGCCAGGGCAGCAGCAGTGGCCTTGGTGTGGTGGTGCGGCTGCAGCAAAGAATTCCCTGCATCCTGGGCAGCCTTTGGGCAGATGCCTGGCTGGGGTAGGGAGAAACCAGGACAGGCCTGCTGGCAGCTCATGGTGGTTTCCAGATGAAATTGGCCTGGCAGAGTGGAACTGGTGTCATTGATACAGATCTGCCAGATTTGGGATACCATCATACTGGTTTGCAAGTCCACAGCAACTTCCGTGTATTAGAAACGTTATCGGAATAATCCATAGATCTGCTGTAAACATCTCTATAAAGATTGAGAATTACACTGCCCCGTCAACTGTAACTCTGAAATGTTCTTATTTTTGGGCACTCCCCAATAACCTTCCCTTAACTTAAATGTGTTTTAATACCTGAAGAAAAAATGTTTTTCCATGTAGGTGAAAGTTGGCTTTCAAAACAGCCATTAAAGCCTCCTTATGCTAAAATGGAGGGTTTAAAATTTTTCCCTTCATTAAGCTATGTTTTCTTTTAAAATTCCTGTTGGATTTGCTGCCGCCTGCCCTCTCTCCACAGCCCCACAGGGAAAAGGAGGCAGGGAAATGTTACAAAAGGGGCTTTTCCAAAGCCTTTCAATTCCTAGTGCCCAGAGCTCATTTGGTCTGCATCTCCCCCTGAGGTGTGGGCTTTAACATCTGACAGATGTTTTGACTTACCTGTTAGGAGAAGGTAACCAGCACCACAAAATCTTTTCATTCACCCCTTACTTGTGAAGTCCCCATAATTATGGAGGGCTCAGGCCAGTGTCTAGACCAACAGGAAAGTCTCCATAAGGCTGCAGTCTGTGCAGACAATGTGGGCTGCATCCTGAGGGATGCTGGAGGGCTCATCTGCTGAGCCCTGGCCAGCTATGCCATTTACATGGCCACCAAGCTCACTGATAAAAAGGCTTAGCTTATTTAGGTGTGAAATTGCCATTTTTGACACTGTTACAGGGAGCTGACTGAGGCTGATTCCCATGCTGTCTCCACGCAGGCAATCCCTCAGCACCCTCCAGCTCACAGGACCCACGCTCATGGAACACGAGGGGAGCATCTCTGGTAGACTTTGCTGCTGGTTGGAAGGGAGTCCTGCTGTGAATTAAATGATTCATTGGCATACCTGAACTGATTCTCCTCAGCATCTACTCCCTGCTCCTGTGGTCAGTTAGCATAAGGAAAACAAGGTAAGTTCCACTGAGTAGGTCTGGAGACTTACTAGTCTCTTTACTGAACATTGTTGGTTTGTGAAGCTTAAAGGGTGAGTAGGTCCCCTTGTTCTTGAGATCCATAGTGTTGGTTTTTGAGGTCTTATTGCCATTTGCACCATCTCCTCCTGGGAACTAGGGGCTCTGGAAAACCTGAACCAGTGACAGTGCACTTGATTTCTGTGCAAGCAGCTGATGTGATGGTAACACAGTGGGCTTGGAGAAGTGGGCCTGGAGAGAGCATCCAAGGCTGACCCCTCTTCTTAGCAGAGCAAAATGTTTTGTCATGTCCATGGGCTAGTGTGAATTACATGTCCCCGGAGGGATGTTCAAAAGATGAAACACTGAAGTAGATCTGGAAAAAAGGACTGCGTATACAAGATACAGTATCTTACGTGATGTATTTAATGTCCCTAATTTACATGCTGACAACTGTGCCATTTCTAAACAATGTTTACATTCATCTTTCTGATAATTAATCAGCACAAGTTTCAAACACTGTTTATCACACTTTGATGCAGCAAAGACAAGAAAGGCAAGATGTTATGGGGCAGGTTTTGGGTTGGTTGTTGGTTTTTTTTCAAAAATCTTACAATATTTACAAAAAGATGCATTTTTTTCCAAACACCATTCTTAGGATTATTCACTCATTCACAATCAGTCACTGTATAAAAACATCATTCAGAAATATGTTTTAAAATACACCCACTTCCATTGCATAGTATACAGAAAAATAGGTGAGAGATAAGACACTTGATTTTTGAATGAGAATGTGAACTGATTCAGAGGTACAACATTTCTGAGGAAGAAAGATGCACTTTTCAAAAAGTAATGAGCTGTGGTTCTCCTGAAGCTAATGAGTCTCTTGAAGGTCTCCTATCAATTTCCCTTTTGCAGACGAAGTATCTTTTACCGTACACACAGTGCTTGCATTAAGGTCAAACAAATCATATTGCAATTAGAAGATTTACTCTTCAGTACTTGCATGTGGACACTGACCAAAATGAGTTACACAAAATACTCACAAGGATCAATGTTGGTTTCATGTGTCAGGGCCCATCTGTGGAACAACTCCATGAACCCAGTCTGTTATTTCCAATTTCTGCTTGAATAACTGAGAAGCTGAATCTACCCTTATACCTTTAGAAACTTTCCTTCTCTGTAAGAAGATCTTGGGCTCTGTTCGCTGTGAAGAGTTAAAATGACAGGCTGTGGAGGGATTAGGCACTGATGGCATCTGTCCTGTTGATTTTCAAACAAAACTTGGTAATTTGGTTATCTTGCATGCTGGTATAGATTTTTTTTTTTTTTTTTTGCGTTAAAAATGTGCTCCAGTGATTTCATTGAGCATGGTCCATTAAAGAGCAACAGGGAACTCTGAACAATAGGTGCTTGTTTTACAGCTACTGCAAATGTTTTGAAAGCACTAAACTGTCTTTTATACTCAACAGTCTAATAACAAAGACTGGTTTTCTCCCTTTTTTTTCCCCAATTGATTTGATGGTTCACTTGAGCTTTAAAAACACATTACATAAATCTTTACAGCTATTACAGAAGTCTTTGTGAAGTTTAATTTGGTGTTTGTTTTTTTTTTTTTCCTATGGTGTAATCATTCACCCTTAAATGTGCTGTACCACACATACCTGGATCATGCCTGACTCTGGATCCGTAAGAGGTTTGTTTCGAATGGGGAGGGACTTAAATCCTTCCAAAGGCAGTTTGTTGCTGAAAGTTCCCGATCCAGAGGTATATCAGATAAAGCACTGGGCGCTTACAAAGGCACCTCTGGCAACAGGTCTATCCTCCCCTGCTACTTAATCTAACTTTACTGTTACAACTTCGTTTGTGCTTGATAGTATGTGGTGGAATTAATCACTAGGATTAACTGGGAGGGTGGGAGATCTATCAGTGTAGGCCTCTTTCCCTGCATCAGAATAAAGAGGAATGTGCTGGCCACCTGGCAGAGGTGTAGAGAGCAAGAGCTGGTAGAAAAACAGTAAGTTTCAAAAAACCTTCAGAGACACAATTGAGTACAAAACATCAAAAGCTGAGCAGATGATATATCTTCACCAGGAAAAGCAAAGAAGCTGTTAAATTCAAGGCTTCTTCATCCTACTTTCTCCTGACCCTTTGTGTCCAGATGCGTCTTCATTTTCCCACTGGTTTTGAAGTGGAGGATTTCACTTGCTCTCCCCTTTCTCAGCCCTCCCCACTGCTGTGGTCCATGAGGAAAGCCAGGCCCTGGAAACATGCAGGGCCAGGACTCATGCTGGGGATAATGAAGAAGGAAAGGCTGAGAGAAGTAGGATCTCACTGCTCTTGTGCCGACCCACCTCTCTTAGCATTATGGTAACTCAGCAAAGTTCTTGGCTCTTTGAAGAATGGGTCAGTATAGACAGGGCTTGGCTGGCACTTTAAGGACATGGGGCTCTGCTGATGATGCAGCTGGAGATGAAGAAGTAAGGCAGGAAGAACGCAGTAAAATGCAGAGAGGTCTGTCTCCACTCCTGAGCTTCTCAGTACCAGGAGCCAGGGTGAGTGCCTCAGAGAAGGACACTGTGTGAGATGTGCTTGATGCTCAGAGATCCCCACAAGCACCCACCAGAAAATATTGTGGATAGCCAGCCAGGATTCTGCTCTCATTGCCAGAGCTGTAAATCTAGAAAACAACACCAACTTCCCTGGCTGTGTTTGGAACATGTTCATGTTACAACCACTGTAAATGCAGGATGGGTCAGATTCATGCCTGGTGGAGCACAATGGAGGAGTGTGGGACAACACTCTATTAATGAGGCTATTATTCAAATGAAGAACTTTTTAAAAAAAAAAAAAAAAAAAAAAAACAGGAAAAGATGGAGTTGCTGGTGACACTGACCGACATTGTTCAGGGATCACAGTAAGGAGATCTGCTTGGCGAACAGGGAGAGCACAGCTAGTGCCAGGGCACAGCTGCTGCACGGGGGGAGTGGTGCCAAGGGGGCTGTGTTTCGGAGCATGCACTCCACCCTGGACCAGGAGCCATTGTTGGGCAGTGGCTGTATTCCTGCCAGGCTGCACATGATGTTGTAAACATCCACGGATCTGATGGGAGGTGCTCGGTAGTTGGATCGGAAATCTGCAGGCAAAAGAGAGGAGCTGACATCATACAGCTTATGGCTCAGCGCTTGAAATATGGGACACTGCAGGGCAAGGGCTCCTGTGCCTTTCCTGGGACTTCCCCGACTGACTGGGATGTGGCATACTATACAATTTATAGCTCTACAGTAACATAGCTCAGCAAAAACATCTTAAACATTTTTGTTCATTATTTTTACTTGTAGTCCAATTTTATTCCCAAAACCAAAAAAAAAAAAAAGCCAAATTTTTAAGTACAGGAGTTACTTTACTGGGTGTGCTTGGTAGATTAAATAACCTGACATATTGCACATTTTGCTTTGTTTACACTCCTGTCTGTGATTGCACCCTGGTGCTTTGCAGTATTTGAAGGTCCAGATGAAGTGGAAACCAGGGGGTTTGCGTCTGCTCATCAGACAGGTGGGTAAAGTATGCTGCAGCCTTCCCAAATAAAGTGCTCTGCATTATTGAGTCTAAATCCACCAACAAAAGAAGAATTCGTGTGTTTCAAGTGGAATTAAAAATTTAGGCCAAAATTTAGGAAAAAGGAGCAAAGGGATAGAGTTACTGTGCTGGGACATCAGAGAGAGGCTGATCAAATCCCTTCATGTTTCTCTGCCCTGTTTCTCCAGCTATAACGCAGAGCTAGAAACCTTCTGTAGTGAGGAAATCCTGCCATCTATTTGTAATTTTTAGGCGTCGCAGAGTGCCACATCAGGGTCCTGACGTGCCAGGGACTGCAGGGCTGCAGGGGCGGGGACCGTGGGGCTGCAGGGGAAGTGGAACACCAGGGATGGTGGCATTGTACCTGGTCCATATGCAAGGAAGAAGCCTCTCATGTCCATGAGCTCGTTGTCGTAGCCGTGCCAGCCATTCTGCCAGGCCTCCTTCTTCCCTGTCCCATTTTCCCAGAAGGGCAGCTTGTCCCTGCTCTGGGTGACAACAGCAGCGCATGGTTAGTGCCTGCTTACCAGGCTGTGTCGGGGTGCTGGGGGGTGCCATGCTGTGTCTTCATGTGCTGAACCACCCCATCAGGACCCCCCTCGTCCTGTTGGCTGCACAGGAGCCCATCCCCAGGAGGGAGGCTTAGCTGCCTCAGTGAGTAGCTGTCGACATGAGTAGCCATCTCCGTGCTGAGAGGGGAGGACAACTCGTGTAAATTTCTGCCATGAGCCCAAAGTACCACAGCTGTATGTGACACGTGTAAGTAAGGTGTCCCTCTCCCCACTTGTGTTAGCAGTGCCACTCTCCCACCCAGCACCATGCTGTGGATTTGTTGGTGTGTTGTTCTGCCCCATATGCCATTGGCACCTTAGAAAAATAAGACATTTTTGCTCCACTTGACTAGTCAGCCTAAACAATACAAGTATCATCCCCACTATATATTTTCTAATTGTTGTTTCTTCTCCCACTTGTTTTAGTATTGAAGAAATCAGGTTTGTTTCAGGGAACACTGGCTCTGATCTAAGACAGTCCCTCTCTCCTTGGCCTAGACCACTCTGTTTTTTTATCTTGCTCAGTGGATCTATGCTTTATTAATTTGTCATTATAAATCTTGTTCTTCCTTGCCCTTATTGCACTTAAGTAGTATTTATAAATTCCTTCCTTACTTTCTCCTGCGTCATATTAACAGCTCTTACCAGACTACCTACAATGGTGTCATACCTGTCAGAGGAGCAGTCCCTAGGGGCTGATTAAAATGCTGGACCAACCCTGTTTCTCCTGTCCCGTGCTTCTTAGGGATGGCAGCAGATGTGGCATTCCAGATAGCAACAAACTATGGCAGGAATTTTACTTAGATGTTCATCAGACCCTTGACATTAATTCCTCTGATTGTTACAGAGAAGGAGTTACACAGTTCCCTAAAGTGGCCAGGTCTGGGCTTCACACACAGGCACAGAAGCACAGAGGATGCCCCAAAAGAGTTTCCCACGTTACCACCCTGGGCAAGTGGTGCCTCAGCCCCTGCAGATGATGAAGCAGATTGCCCAGGGATGTCTTTCCTTTTACAAACATTTATTTTGTCCGAGTTTCATCTTCCTCCTCCAGAAAGAAAACTGACTGTGCAGTGAGGACAGCAGTAGTTACGACTAAGAGGTCAGCTACTTTCTAGGGGAACCCCCAGAGCATCCCTTGTGTTTCTTCACATGCAGTATTCAGCAGATGTATCAGATACTTCCAGAATACTACAGAATGGGTCAGGTTGGAAGGGACCACAGTGGATCATGTGGTCCAATCTCCCTGCTCAAGCAGGGTCATCCTAGAGCACATTGCACAGAATTGTCTGCAGATAGTTCTTGAATATCTCCAATGAGGGAGATTCCACAACCTCTCTGGGTAATCTGTTACAGACTAAATTAAACTATTTCACATGACAAATTTCTTTTCTTGTATCTATTTCTGCCATTTATTTCCCTGACAGAGCTCAGAGCAAGCCAAGGAAAAAACGGACTTCTTCCCCTTTTCCTACCATAGCATCTCCTTATGCTGTGGCTCTGTTTACTGTGATTCCTGGGGACTGCCTGTGCTGCTCACCATCAGGTGACCAGTACAGTATTTGCTAGCATCAGCTTCAAACAAGTCAAGCCACATCCAATTTTCAGTGGTTCTGTGGCAGTATAATGACATCAATGAAGCTACAGCCCTCCATGGTCCTCTCAGATGTCCTGGACTCAGTTGCTTCCCCAGGAATGTTAAATCCAGGAGGTATGTGTGCCTTTCCATTACACACCCAGGTAGCAAGAGATACCTACTCACAACTCTGCAGTCAAAGGCACAGTCATTTCCATCATTTTTGCTGCTACTTGAGCCAGAAAACATGCTACTTGCTTTCACAGCTGCTGCTGAAGTGAGAGCTCATGAAATGGAGCCACTAACAGCAGCAGCTTGAGAAACAGGGCTGTGCAAGCACCCCAGCGCTGCCCTTCTAGAGCATCAGGCTCTGCCTTACAGCAAACCTCAGAAAAAACCTGGGGCTTCTTTGGGGCCAGGGCACCGGCAGCACCCTGAAGTGCCTGCTTGACAAATCCAAATGGGATGGCGGACTCAGCTGAGACATAATTTTTCATGCTAAGCCTAAGCCTGGGCTAGTGCTGCTCCTCAAAGATGAAACAGGCATGTCTGGGACTGCTGACAATGGACTTTTCCCTGCATGTGCATGTTTAGAAAATGTACTGCAATTGCTGCCTGAATCTTGGGAAAGTAGGCTGGGATGGGTAGAAGAGTGAGCACACAGGCCTGAGGGCTAACACCAGTGTTGCACACAGAAGAGTAGCTGGGGGAAATTCTGCTCAAAGAATGGGGACCGCTCACTCACGTGGAGGGAACAAGGCTTCGATACAGCCAGAGGTGTGTGAAATCCCTCCTCATCCTGCTTTAACTGAAACGTGGATGGGCTTTAGTTCTGGTTTACCTACTAGAAGGTACAAGAAGATATGGATCCCCAGCTCCTTGCTAGGGGAAACAGCAATTTTTCCAATACATCCTCTTTATCTCTTTCAAAAAACAACAACAACAAAACAATCTCCTTTTCAAACAGCTTATAGCTATCCACAAACCAGCAGAGAGTTAAAACACCCCTTGAGCATGACAGGGAAGAGCTGAACATCTTCTCTTCAGTGGTTTGGGCAGGAAGTATAACAGAAGGCTCAATTATTGCTTTAAAAATATGACAGGAAACTTTCATTTTCATATCCCATTCACAGATAATGAAAATGTACTGAAGAGAAGGCAAATCTGACTGTAATAATGAGAGGACATCCTTGAAAATCAGAAACAATGGGAAGGAATGGGCAGAGAGACAGAAATAATTACCATAGCAGCAGTGTTTTCTGCACTGTTATTAAGGTTTGTCAGAGTTTCAATGATTTTTTTAAGTGCTTTTTTTATTTTCTACAGAATATATAAAAATGTTCTGTTTTGAACTTTTGTACAAAAGAGTTTAGTTGTAATTTTTTTTAAATCATTTTGGCAAAATTGTTTCAGAGTCCTACTTTACATGTCTAAATCTTAACTCTGGCTTTTTATATTTTTATTTTTTTTAACCAGAAATGTGTTGCTCACCCATCTGTACTCAAATGCCATTGGGTTTTTTCAGAGGTGCGTTTTTATTCAGCTGTAGAAATTATTATCCTAAATTCAGGTTGACTAGTGATAACGTGGTGGTGTGAAATGTCCTGAGCAAAGCTTGGTGAGCAGTAGCTCTGAAGGTCATGAAAGAAGATGCTTAGCTCAGTTCCAGTAATCTGCAAGGCAACAACGGGCAATGACTGTGCTGGGACATTAAAAAAACCCAGGACTCCTTGGTTCTGTTGCCGACTTACTGAGCTTGTGTATGGCTTTGGGCAAATCACTTAGAACCACTCCTCGCTTTCCCTACTTAGAATATATCTGTATCTGAGATAAGATATCTATATTTGCCTCGCCCTGTGGGCAGTGCTGAGCTGCACTTAGTATTTGTAATGTGGAGATGCCCAGTAGTGATACAAGTACAAAACAACAACAACATTTAATTATAAGTTACTATGAAAATAAGTTACTATGAAAAATCTCCTCACGTGTGGATTCCCTGCTTAAGAAGTTCTCAGATCTTCAGTGTGTGGACAGGGCTTCTCTGAGGAGGAAACCCTCAGTCATCTGACCCTTTTGAGACTGGAGGGCTTGGGAGAAATGGGGTTTTTTTAGTCTGGTGGGTGGGAAGCCAGGCAGAATGAAAAGTTGCTACAGGTAGTGCTGCATGGAGGGACAGTAAGGACTTGAAACGGAAACACTCTTTTTGTGTCTGAAATTAAGGTAGACGGCAGGAGGAAGAAGAATAAAGCAACAGAACCGGAATGTGAAATACAAGAACTACTCCTGTGTTATGACAACAGAGAAAAAAAACTATCTTGACTATTTAACTGTCTACCTTCAGGATAGCTGCAATACCTTTAAGCCCTTTTAAGCAGTAGTTCTGCAGTCAGCCCATTGACTTTAACTTCATTATCAGCACAGAATTGTACAATTTTCTGACTGTTTTCATATCTTGCACCTTTTCACATTCATATCAAAGTACTTTGCTTCTATACTTTACCTCTGCTATGAACCATCCTTCCTCAGCCACGAGAGTTAGTGGAGACACAAATCTTCCCTTTTTGTAGAAAAACCTGTTTGGAATATCCTGTATGTTATAAACATCCATGTGTTCCACAGCTTTTAATTTTTGATATATCTGCAAAGAAAACAAATGTTAGGACATCATATGCCTGTAAAGCACATATATGCACCAATGGGTACATTGAAACACCTGAATTTGCAAAGGGGCTAATCCCCTTTAATGGCTAACCATCAGCATATTGAAATTAGGACTCTGCCCGTCCAAAGGTGATGGCTGGAAAAAACCTGCTTATGTGGTTTAGGAGATTCTGAAAGCTTGGATCAGAAACACATAGGACTGCACGAAGTCAGGTATTATTTATATTTGTGATACACACACAGATGTGTGTGCATGTAAGTATACCAGCCTACAGAAACAGACCAGGAGAAGCCACACCTTCACAGGAGATAGTGGTGAAAGCAAAGTGGTGAAAGATGCTCAAAGGCACCATGTGGATTGAGTAAAGGTGTGGAAAAGGAATATTTTCTTTATCCTCTGCCACTCATTCTCTCTTTGTTCCCTTGAGTAAAGAATTAATATCACCTCACCTGTGCTTCTTGCACTTAACCAGTCAATCCCTAACAAAGGGATTGATAGTGTTTAGTTATCTGCTTCATAAGGATGCCGTGAGATTAATTAGCCAATGCCTGCAGCTTTGAATCTGCACAATGTCATACAAGTGGTTTATTAATATTAATCATACTGTCTTGAATATAATCACACAAGTGTTGTTAAACCCCAAATTGTTCAGAAAAAGTACTTTAAATGTCTGAAGGAGATATTCGTATGCCATAAAAAAGGCCATTATTGGAGTCCTCAGACTCTGTATTGTTCTTTTGCTTAAATATAAATAATTTTCATGAATAACTAGCTCAGTTCTGCAGAGAATGAAAGGTTCTTCACTAGCCTTTTAGCTAAGTCACCCTTGTGTGCCTGTGTGTGCCAGAAATGTGTATTGATATGCAGTGACCATAAGGACAGCACCAGGGTGTGATGGCACAATCCAGCCAGACCCTCCCATGGCCAGGACTAGGGTGGTCCTGGTGTTTCACCAGTACTTCTTCAAAATGGGATAATTCTTAAAGATGATAATCAGTATGTTATGATACACTCTTAATTCCTGAACATAGCTCTTTGAAGTGAATTAAGAACAGATGAATTTAGCTATTGGGAAAGTGGAAACCAACTTGATCTCACTTAAAAAGCAGTAGTCCAGTAAGAAGTCCTAGAAAGGAAGGAAGAAAACAAAACCACAGTGTAGAGGCATTGTACTTTATTCTCCTTTACTCTGAGGACAGCAGTGATGACTTCTCATGCATTGGTTTCTGGTTAGACTATAATGTACTGGTCTGTTAGTTACATATACTGTATTTTCAGTCTTTTCAAATAATTTCCAATTTTTTTCTCTATTGTTTTAATTCATCCCTCAAAATCCTGCAGTTCTAACCTTAGACTTCTATGGTTAATTCAACCCAACATGCTTCACCAAAAATTCTTCTAAGGAAAATATTGTAAAAAAAAATTTTTTTGCAATTCTGGTTTAATGGAGTTAATTACTCAAACTCTATGGGAGTTTACTGGGGTATGAATGTCAGATCATTTGAAAATCATAACTAGGGTGCCAATACATTGACTAACGTATATATGAAGTCCTAAAAATGGCTTTTGAGCTAAAATCTTTTAGCTGTTTATCAAAAGCACATAGTGGTGGTGTTTAAAAGCACGTGTCCTTGCCACACAATGATGAAGGTTCACGCTTTTTAATTTTCCTGGTGTGACCTTCATTCGGAAACCAGCAGCACAAAAGTGTCACAGGATCCAAGTCTGATTCCTGATAAGAGCCTCAGGCCGACTTTTACACACATCTCCAAGAGCCAGATTTGGATGTTATGAGAAGACAGAAGTCACAAGTGGCAAAAAAAAATGAGGAAACACAGAGCCTAGTACGACCAAGCTGTACTTACCTCTGCGTGCTTCTCCGGAACCGGCCAGAGGCTCACAACAGGACCTCGGTCCTTCATTTGTATGGTATCGCTCATATTGATATATTTGTTCAGCTCAATCACTTTGTCTGCCCAGGAGATGTCTGTCATTCCATGGTCAGAGAAGAGGAGGACATTGACTTCATTCTGAAGGCCTTTTCTCTGTAAAGCAAGTGCATGACAGCAGTTATGGCTGGTAGGAGCTCTGCACTCTCCGCTGGAAAATTTAAATTCCCATCTGGCCTCCACTGATTTAGTGGAAGTTGGCCAGAAGGAGCACATCCTCAAATGCCCTGCAGTGTGCTTTGCCACCACCTATAATGGTGGACACCCACTCTCACTTGCTGCTCTGGAGGAGTCTGAGAGGTTAGCACCAAAGACAGTTTTTCCAAAATAAATCCACCCCCACGCTAAATAACCGGATGCTACATCCTAGACTGCCAAACCAGTTGTCCCAATTGGTCTTAGACAGGATTTTACTGAGCTGTTCTTAATCTATTGGCCAAAACAGATGGGGAAGAATAACTTTGCCACGATACTACCTGTGGTAGGGGTGTTTCTCTCTTCCCCTCAAAAGCGTAAGCACTTAGCATTACAGCTTTTATAATTTAGTGAAACTGGAGATCCATATTCCTTTCCTCACTGAAACACTTAAAAACCCTCCAACATGCATTTATCATTGTCAGAAATATTCACAGAATCGCCATTTACCCAAAAGCCTGGCATCCTCCTTTTCTCGCTGAAAAATCATTTAGATGATGTTTTTTTAAAACTGAGTTTAAAGTAAAGAGTTCTGAATAGTGCCATAAAAATTGCTATAGAAGTTAATTGTCTGATTCCACAAACCTTAGGAAGCACAAGGTTTTGGTTTGTTCTCCTGCAATAAAGTTCAGCTGGCAGCACCAGTCATAAAGTGTGTATCGGTTTGTGGCTTGCTCTGGCTATTGGTGTAAATCCACTAGGTGGGTTATAATGCCATCAATGAAAATAATAATTAGGGGAATGGTGCCTTGACTTCCACATGATTTCAGCAACCTGTTTTTCAGGAAGTAAAAGTTTACAGCCAATGCATTCACTCAGAGGGGTTAAGTAGGCTCTTGGCAGTGCCACAACAAGCAGTTTTTAAAACCTTTCCAAAGGGCACCCAGGATCTGGGGTTTTGGATGCCACTCACCTTGATGAGTGAGATCATGTTGCTCAAGGCTTTGTCCACCTCCTTCAAAGCGTCCTTCCTCTGCTGGGACGAAGGGCCGTAGTGGTGGCCTTCCACATCAATGCGCTCGTAGTACACCGCGGCCATCTCAGCACTGCCGTTGCTGGAGGTGGGAGGGAGGGCAAGGAGTGAGAGGCTGGCACACATGGAGACCTCCTGGCTGCTGACATTATTGTCTTCACCAGCACGTAGAACCACAAAACCCCATTTTCTTCTTCCAGCCTGTGCTGTCCTACCCACTGCAGCACTGCTGGGCTCATTATTCACACCCAGATTCTCCTGAGTTTGCCTGAGACTCCTCTCAGAGGTGGCAGCAAGCACAGGCTGGCCTGGCAACCCTCCACTAACCTCTTTGAATTAAGAAGGCAGCTTTCCCTTTAATGACAAAGAAATACTGATTTGTGTGCTCAGTGCCCTTATTAAAAGGACTGTGGGAATTACCAGACGAACGTACTTTAATTAAAGTTTGGCACTTCTGGCTTTCTCCTGTGTGAGGTCTTCCAAACCACGGAGGTCAACTCAGGGTGTGCTCTTTCTTGCAAAATACTGAGTACTATGAATTGGGATTAAATTTTAGATGGAGGTTTTATTCAGGAATATGACCAAAGGGAAGCGAAGGTAATCTCAGAGGTAATCTCAGAGGTAATCTCAGCGTTGCACATGTTTAGCTGATCACAGATTTCTGCACTGAATGCCCTCAGCCTAATTAGTGGGGATGGCACATATATCAGTGCTTAATTACATTTTTCATGACCACTTCACAGTTCACTATAAACCTACCTGAGAACAGTTGTGTGGATAAAATCACAAACCTATGCTCATGAAGTTCAAACCCAGTCTTTTTCTCCTGTACCTGATATATGACAGAGTGTGCCATCCATAATACGTGCTCTCATCCAGACCAAGATCCCTACAAAAAGACTTTGTGTGATGTCCTGACAGGTCCAGCTTCTCTGATTAAAGACAGCTGGGTAGTCTGGTGTAATGAGCGAGAGAGAAGAGGAAAGATCAGAGGTGAGGGACTGACTGACTGAATTAGGGTCTGTAATTTGCATTTTTCAGTTTGAGGAAGGCCTCAGAGGAGCAGTCCTGTAAGAAGCCGAAGGTCTCTACTGTGCACTACTGGCCCTGCAGAATAGTATTGTTTCTTATCCTTACAGATTTTAAAATAATTCAAATGAAGCAACCCTTCCTCTCCTCACTTTGATTTTAAGCTTACTTTCCCTCTGTATTAGGCATAAATTATTTCTAAAATGTAACCCTGTAATTTCTCTTTTGCACACACACTCACTGAACCTACTGAAATAGTTTTCTTCTGCTGCAGTGCCTATATTAATGAGCTGCTTAGACTACTTTATGTCTTCTCATCTGTAATGATCATTTTGATCCAGATAGAAGCCAAGAAGGAGATTTATTGCATAAAACAAGTGATCTCATTCAGGCTGTGGTGAGGTTTCTCAGTGAGGGCTCAGTGCTGTAAGGAAGAATATTCAACCACTTCAATGGGACAAGCTCCAGTTAAGCAGCATGCTTAGGAGTTTGCAGGACTTGGTACAGCACATCCAGAGCTTCTAAGATCGAGTTTGGCTTTGTTTCCGTGTTTGTATGTTCTTCTAAGAAAACTAGGCATCTCTGATCATGGCTTGCACTGGAGAAATAATCTAACTGTGTGCTCATCCTCTCTTCTTCTGTCACCAGTATCTTTCCAAGTAATCGACTAAGGAAAGCTTGCTGAAGAAAGCTGGATGGCATCGACGGCAATACCAAAAAGAGGTTTGTATTTTACCAGCAAGCTTTGCCAGTACTGTGCAAACTTCATGACACCTGTCCAGGAAGGTAGGTAGATTACAACAGCCCTTAAGTTATAGCTGTGGAAAAGACACAGGGAAGGTTTTAGTTTCACTTGCCAAAAACAAATGCTTGGCTTGTTTTGAATATTTTTAGTCTGAATAGTGGTCTTAAAGCACCTGTTTGAAGAGACTAGAGAATATTCCTGAAGGATAGTTTCCTTTGGTTGCAAGAGGAGCGTAGTGGCTCCTGATGAATTAGGTATTTCTGTCCCCACAGAGGGGATTGATAAAACTGTGAAGTGAAGATGGGTCAGAACTCCTGTGCTCAAACCCAAGGTAACCCCTAGGTTGCCAAGTCACATTAAAGGGCTTACTCTCTCTACCCTGGAGTTTCTGTAAGGTTTGCTAATGAAATACAGTTCATTAACTACTAATACCTGCCCCACCAGGGGCAACTGAGCAAGGCACTGCTATAGGCAACACACTGCCCTTGCCACAGGCTGTTTTCCCACATACTGCTAATGCCAGTCTCAGCCTAATGGACTTTTCCAATTAGCTGGTGTGTGGAAAGGAAACACACTGGATTTGCCAGCCTTTGAACAGCTTCAAGAGTCAAAAGCACTTGCAAAAGATGTAAATGACAAGCTCAAGACTCTACTATCAGACATGCTAATTCCTGCTAAATGAATCTAGCTATGGTAAAGGCATTTCAGAGGCTTCACTTCTTATGGGCTGACGCAGCAGCACAGAACTTTTTTCCCTAAATCTTAAAGGAATAAACAAAGAGGATGAATGAAAGAAAGAATAAGGAAACCTACCCCATTTTTGATCTGTTCATTCTCTATTCTCCCTTCTTATTTTAAGTCCCTGCAGTATTTATACCCAGATCTGATTATCAGTTTTTGCTCTTTCCTGCCTTGCTGGAGACAAGGTACATAGTTTAAAGAAAATGAACTTGGGCAGAAATTCAAGAGGGATGGTGTGTAAATGGACACCAGAGACAGGACCTCCTGCAGCTCTGGGATGATCTGTAGGTTTTGGGCACTTCAGCAGGCTTTAACTGGTATTTCTGGTAGGCATCATGGCAGGGATTTGCTCTTTTCTTGAAGAGTTTTCATCTCTTGCGAGTTGTCCCACTGACAATGCTGTGTTCCTGCCCTTTTCTTCTTTTCCACCAAAGATAGCAGTGGGCAGCCTTGTAGCTTAGGGTAAATTAGCTATTGAGACATTTTCAATGAGAACCAGCTACCCAAAAGAACACCTTGAAGGGCTGGATCATTTAGCAGTTTGTGCCTTGTTTTAACCATGTTCACAATTACAGAGCTGCAAACCACCCTGAGCAGCCTTATGCACTGTGCTGCACAGAAATCAGGCAGAGAGTCAAGTCTATCTTGACCCATCCCCAAATGATACCAGGTCAAAGCGCTTTCTACAGTAATTTTGGGTAAATCAGAGCTGATACCTGTATTCAGTTTTCTGATCCTTTTTTTTATTCGCTAAATTAAAAGCGTTGTAGAAGCTCCAGAAAGCCTCCTATGTCACATATGACCTCCTCATACCACATGCAGATAACTTTCTGTAAATTTAAGCCAAATAATTTCATGATAAAACATCTCATGTGGTCTCAGACAGTTTCTGTCTAAGCCCCATGATGCAAATGACACCGTGATTCCCGAGCAGCAGGATTCAGTGTGCAGCATCTCCAGCAGCACTCTCATAATTTTGAAGACTTTAATTCAAAGCCAATCAACACTCAGCATCTGAATACAAAACTTTTCAGATTCAAATTGCTATGGCAGTTCACAAGCAGGAAAATAGAAATGTTTCTTAGGATTGGATAAATTATGGAACCAACAAGGTTTTCAAAGAGGAAGCCTAGTTATAGCTAAGGTAAAGCATGTGGTGGTGCAACTTTACAGCCTATGTGGGATTGCCCCTTGTTAATGTTTGGATGAGAGATGGTGGAACTTGAAAGCTGGGTGTGGAGCATACATTTTTCCTAGGAGTTGTCTGAGATATATATGCCCATCAGCTGGGCTAGATGGTTGTTGTAGGCACTATCCAAAGGAACTATTCTATTCCACTCTGTTCTATCCTCATATTTGCACAAAATGAATGCCCACTCCAAAAATATTGTGCCTGCGATGTTCTAAAATGCAGAAGAAGCCAAAGCATCAGTCTTGTAAACAAGCGACCGAAGCCAAATTTAAGGATTTCCAAATTTCCTCTCTAAATCCAAGCCTTGCAGTCTGCTCCTGCAGGTCAGTGAAGGGACTCAGCCTGAAACTGTTTGAAACAACAAACTAAAAGTAGTAAGTCAGGATGTCCCCTCTTTGCTGTAACCTGAACAGGAAAAGGGCACATCTTTCCCTCCAATCTTAATGTAAGGACCTATTTCTGTGGTGATGGTGGTGTTTCTGTGACAGTACTGTAAAGTAGCCTCAGCACCATCTCCCTACCTGGGAGCCAATCCTGAAAATTTCCAAGATAGTAAGCCCAAATACTCGTCCTTGAGAGAGGAAACCCCACGCTGCAAAAACCTAGTGACATACCACAGGGACTCGAGGGCATCGATGATGGCATCTGCAAAGTTTTTGTCTGTTGGGACACTGAAGTATTCGCGGCAGTAACTTGGTCTGACTCCAAGGATTTCGACCTCACAACCTATGAGCAAAAAATGTGGTAAGCTCTGCTGTTTCACCTTGATCACCATACCAAGGGGTTCCAATTCAGGTTTGTAAATTCCCTCTGAGATTACTTACCTTACACCCTCCCTGCAGGAAACTGCGCGGTTGGGAAGGGAAAAGGGGAGAGAGGCTGGTCTGATGAGTGCTTGTAGCAAACTGTACATTGGATCCTTTAATTTCCCTCTGTAAAAGGAAGGTCTCTGTGTGACCTTCCCACAATAAAACTCTTGATTCCCTTGTGGCAGACTGTTTCCATCTAAATTGCTAGCTTGTTTTCATTTTAACTACTGTGGTCACATAGCCTCATTTCCAGGCTTCCAACATAATAGATTTAGACATTGTTCCCTGAAAATTCAGCAAATACTTTCCAGTTAGACACGCTGTATCTTATGTTGTAATATCCTTTATAAACCGTATTTTATTATGTGATACTGGCACTCCACTATTAAATCTGTTTCCCAGGAGGTCTTATTAAAACAGCATAAACCAATTAACTCTCTTGGTAACTTGCAGCCTTCCTTGCAAAATACAGTCTGTTTTGAGGCCTAAAAATTTACAGCAACAAATCCTACCGGAGAACATGGCCTTGAACATGGAAAAACATGGGTTTTTGTGAGGTTTCTTTGCCCTTTTGCTCTCCAGTTACTATGCTGCAGAATAACATTAATATTTAAAAGAAGTGTGCTTTCAGAAACGCTGGGTTCAGGTAAATTATTATTCCAGAGCTCCCGAGTCCTCCAATCACTGTTAGGCATTTTCTGGTGTATTCCTTGGGCACAAGGAAGAAAATAAAAAAAGAGATCTTTTGCAATATGGCCTCTGTATACAGCAACACAGTCAGGGCAAAAATGCAACTCTAAACCAAAGCCCAAATGTGTCTACATCTGGGTTCCTCTGCTTCTATTTGGGATGAAAGGAATAGGCATTAAGGATTATCATAAGTTGACTCATTGCTTGGGGTCAGAGAAGGTTGCACAGGAGGTTTAAGCACAGAAAGGGCACTAGAGTAAGCAGAACTACTATGAGAGATGATTTACAGCGGTTTGCTTACTGGGATGCTCAACAAAAAGAATTTTGCAGTGTCTTGCATTTCAGCCCACATGTGTTTACATCACCAAGGTCCAGTACTGGGACACAAGGAAAAGGCACAACACTTGCAGGCTAAGCTGGCTAAGAGACTTCTGATTGTGACTGCTTAGGAGTACCATGGAAGATTAGAAAAAATTAAATACTTAAGCTTAGGAAGTTTTTTTAAAAATCTTCACTGATTTGCAGAAAGCCAGACAAGTCAGATGGAAATTAGCCTTTCTAGAAGGTAGAGACCTAGCATACATGGGAGATTCAGTCTCTTCACCTGTGGCAACAACTTCCATGTCTCCACATAGTCTGTGTGTTTTAAGGGACTCCATCTGTTATGATTAATTATTTGCAAAAATAAACATGAAATGTAGTCAAATAATTTATTTTCCTGTAAAAACACATCTTCATGATCTTGAACCTCTATCTAAATTTTATTCCTATTAAAATTGTGGGACTGTGTGATGACACTCACTTTTCGTTCTTCTCCTGTTGCCCCAAACATACGTGATTTAATCCTCCACTTTCTACATGTAGATACTGTATTGTTTATCTCTCCATCACAATCCACCATGAAAGTAATCTGCAACCTGGTTGAAGAGCCTGCAAATTACCTGACAAGAACTGACTCTCTAGACCATCCCACAGTAAAACTTCTATACATCTGCACACAGCACCCTCAAGAAATTATGTTGTGCAGCAGAGACAGGTCCCACCTGCTACCTACCCAAATCATAAAAAAATGTATTCCATGAATTTCCTGAAGTCCTATCCAGGAAGGCCCCTGCCCTGAGGACATGCAGCTTCGGTCTTTTGCAGGATGTCTTGGGTGCTTCCAGCAGCAAAACATGGGCTTACAGCTAAATCAGATGCTAAAAGCGATGCAGTAGTCCTCCGTGGGCTTTGCTAGTATTTCAGGACTGAACTGGAACTTTGGAGCCAGTTTCTTGTCTGACACTTGAGTCTGGGAAAAGATTGGCTCTAAAGCCAGGCAAGAAGTTAAGGATGCACTTGGAAAGATGTTGGGAACACGTAGTATTTTCGTTCAGGTGTATGACTGCTCATAGCCAGTGACTAACACTACCACTTTGCCTCTTTTTGCTTCTTCAGATACTGACATCAGACGGTAATTTTCTCACATAACATCCCTCAGAACTACTCATAAGATAATTTTAACTGGAAGCATTACCCTCTTGGGGATCTGGGATATTTTAGCTGTTGAGATATCTTTGCTATTTCTAGATTGTCAAGTGATGAGCATGACAAAAAAGGCTGTAGACGTAGCAACAATTAGAAATAATTTTGGCCACTAAATATTGATCTTCAAGTGTGCAGTTCATTGGCAGTACCACTGAAAATTCAGGCTGCTTAGATATCAAGAGCTTCCTTTTTGCTTTTAGCCTCTGTGATGAACAGAACTTAAATTTGGATTTTTGATGTTAAGGGTTATTACAATTCCAAAACACTGGCCATGAAGACCCTTTAATATTTAGATCTCATTTTGGTAGAGGCCAGGACAGATGGTAAATTTTCTCATTTAAATATTATGGGAAAGGAAATTAAAACAGATTTGGAGCCAGACAAAGAAAATGTTGAATTTTTTCTTGTTTAAACTACAAATAGTTAAGCTATATTTATGAAGATGTTAGATACCTTTTTTCACAGTTTTGTATGACACAAAACCTTTACTTAAAAACCTGAACTACTGGAGCAGGAATAAGGACTTCTTTCAGAGTGATATATAGGCTCCTCTTTATCTATCTGACATGGAGACCTGAACTTCTGCCAGCTTTAAATTGCATTTCTAAACATTTATTTAAGAGTTGGACACTTCATGTCATAACAGGTTTTGAAAACTTTCCAGATGAGCTGTATGGTCTGGTAAATGTCGTGTTTAAATGGCAAAAGTTGAGTCCAGAGCCTTTTTCCCCCTCTTTCTTTCATTTCAGTGTTTAGAAAAGATGTCACTGCATTTCAGCTGAAGCAGCTGCATACTCAGTTAGCATAGGCTGCTGGAAAATGAAGGAGTTTGAGCACCTATGGTGACACAATCCACTGGGCTGAGGACCACTTCGAAGCTTTGACTTTGCCAGTACTGCCTGGATGCTCCTGCACTCCTCTGGGCATTCTCCATCCGCTGGAGCAGCAGTGCTTCAGATGGGCAACCTGGGCATGAGGCTGAGAACTTCACCCCATGAAGGTTGCCAAGAAAGGAGAAAAATGTCCCTACACGCCAAGGTTTTATATTTTGTCAGAATTGGTGGTTGGGACCCCTGGCATGGTGATATTTTGCCTCATCTGCTTCTAGCGTCAGGAGATCCCAGATGAATTCTGCCCATGAGTTGTCTTTGCTGGGTTTATGTTGGGCTCACAGATAAAACCATGACGGATGGTCATGTGCATCCAACAGCCCTCCTGATCTGTGTTCCTGTTTGCTGGGATCTGGATTTTACTTCTGTAAGCACTGACTATGCATGAGAGAGGAATGTAGGGAAGAATATGAAGCAGCAGTTCTTGCATTCAGACTTTCCAAAGCTTGGAACTGGCCCTGAGGAGGAAATGGCAGTGGTGTAAGTCTATCCTGGGAATCAGCTCTCTGGTATTTCCAGTGCGTTTCTGCTATGGCTGATTGATCTCATTTGTCTTCAATGCTGGCTGAAGAGAAGACAGCATCTTCCAGAACAAAGTTCTGACTCTCTACTGCTGTTCATATGAAGAGTTTCAGAAACTTTTCCTGTTTGGATCTTTATCATATTTGTAAGGTTCATTACTAAGCAGAAGTATATCCTCAGGCTGGAAAGCTAGCCACGAACAGCAGATTATATGCAGTGCAAAAGTCTGTGGGACCTCTACAAACCTTGGTTATTAAATCTTTTTTTTTTTGTTTTATTATTTTCATTTTGTTTGGTATTGCTTCCAAGTCAAATGTCTTGTTAAGAATTAAGGTTTTAAAATGACAGATCTAGAATTTTTATAAAGGATTTTGTCCTCGCTATGGAACTAGAAAACAGTTTAAAAAATTGTATAGGGAAACCGTAATAAATACTACTGCATTTGGAGTGACTTCTGTTTACCCTAGATACACCTGGAGTCCTACTGCAGCCCAACAGCCCTGTGTTTTAGTTCAATAGTTCTACATTTCACCCCACTTCCTGTCCCATGCCTGATCCTGTATGGCATATGTGTCCTTTGAGACCATGGATACCCTCAAAATAAGCAAGTGCTTAAGTGTTTGCTGAACTGAGGCACTGATGGCTTTGCCAAACGTCAGTCATCACAGATAAATAATTAAGGAGGGACAGATGTACATGTCACGGTCCACAGCTAAAATACCATATCCACAAAAAATTCTCCCTCTGTGTCATTAGAGTCAATGCACACACTTGTCAGCGTAAGCACTGGGAAAAGGGAGGCTCTATTGTTCATTGCAATTTTTGACTGGAAATAGCAGGCAGAGTGAAGTGTATACATGTGTGTACAAGGATACACACATATACACCTCATACGTCTTCTCCCCGGGGAGACACTGCTCAAAGGGCAGCATGTAGGAGCTAGGTAAAGTCCAAAGGCATTTAATGGGAAGCGATACTGTTGGGATTTTTATTTCAGCAGCTCTCTGTAGGCTGTTACATCTATTCTGTACATAATTATACCTATTGAGAGCAATTATATTAGTGGGTAAAAATGAATAGTCTATAGAAAGAGGCCTTTTGTAAATTTTTAGAGGAATTCCTACATTCTTGTATAACTATTATTTACATTGCTGTTAGGTCACTTGGGCGATCTTCAATTAGAATCAGCATTGTTTTCAGGGCTTATCCAAACCATTACATATATGTCAGTCACCTTGACTGCCTCTGAGTCCATAAGGCAGTATTGTCACCCTCAGGTCTTTTTGCTCTTCACTACTATAGAAACACTCTGGATGGCTTTTCAGTGTTTTCTGTCTTGGTTTGCTCTTTCTTCTCGTTCCTTAGAACTGTGGACTTTTTTATTCTGGCACACCATTAGCCACATAGCACGGAAAAACTGTGGCCAGGCACATCTGCACTGGGATGCAGAGAGGAGCAGTCTGGGAGCCCACGGTGTGGGTCAGCTGCCTCTGCCCTACTGGCACTGGTTGTATCCAGGACAGCTCTTCTAACAGCTCTAGCCTGCACTTATAATGAGGATATCTGCATACTGATTAGTGTAAGTAGTAGAGTTAAAAGGTAAAAAAGTTGAGAATCTCGGTACTTTGCAAAGCATTTGGTCTGGTTGCAAAGCTGGAACATTTATTTCCATGTGAGTCCCTAAATGGATAGTCTAAGGAGATACTTCTTTTTGTTAAAAAGGACTAATTTTTATACATCTCTAGTATTTTCAGTATCTAACAAATGAGGAACAGAAAGGCTAAGTCCCTCCAAAAGAATGGCTCAGACTCAGAGCTGCTAGGACCTCAATCAACAGTGAAGGAGGACAAGAAGACAAGGATGCTTTGCTTTCAGCTGGACTTTGTTGTCCCCATAGAGCAGATCATCTTCAGCTCTCAGCAACTAATTTCCAGATTAAAACCAAACAAGCATTGTGGGACACTGGTTACTGTTTAACTTTGATTGGACCATGAACCATTCATGGAGCAACCATTCAGCACAGCAGATACCACAGGTGGGCAAGAGGAATAAGCAGCTGGTGGAGAAGGGGATGCTCTGCAAGCCAGTGCCCTCCTGAAGGTAACATTTGGTGGAAAGCTGCCTCCAGTGACACCTCAGTCTTTTCCTTTGCAAGCATATGCAAATTATCATGACCTAAGGAAAGATAATTCATTTCTATGAGTGGTTAGCAAAGCACTCAACATTCTTGTCTGTATTCCAGGACTGTGTTAGAGAGCCATTCCTACAGAATATGGAGTGCTCAGATGTAAAGATGTACTGTTAAGGTGGTAGCAATTTTTCACATGCTTACCTGGCCAATAGTACATGGAAACGTTCTTTTTCGCTTTCATCATTGTGACCCACAAAGGCTCAGATCCATTCCACCAGAGAGGCATCAGGCTTTCTTTATTCACACCAATATCAAAAGATACATTTGCTTTCTGGTCCCACATGTAGTTTCCAGTCATCTGATGGACCTCACAGTGGCGACCTTTAGGGGTGGAGAAAAAAAAAAACCAGCACAATCAGATTGGTGTTCTCCAGCAGAAGGATGCCACCAGCACCACCACTGCTACTACTGGATCATCCAGCAAACCAGCTGAAAAGCCCTGACATGAACTCAGGGATCTCTTACCTTGCAACTGCTCATACAATTTTCTTGACTATTATCTTTTCTTGAGGTGTTCTAGTTAGCTCGCTATATTCCACAGTTCAGCCACCTAAAAGTTAGTTGCTAAAACTTGTCAGCCCCCCATGTTCCCTTCACAGTCAGTGGACAAGAAGAGGCATGTCCAGAAAGCAAATCATGCCACCCCAAGACAGTCATCTCAGATATCTGGGGGCGCATACTGCTCTCTGTTAACGGTAGAGAAAGATCACAGCATTTTCTTAGTTTCAGGCAACCAAATTTTAGACAGCTGAGGCCAGAAGAAACAAACCCCGCACCCCATGGCCTGCTCACCGTCCAGCACCCAGCCCAGACACACAAACCACATCAGCAGCAACCTGCCTGGGGGCCAGCTGGCTCCTCTGACACACGCAGCACCTACCAAGTCTGAGGCCGTTTTAAGGAACCCACCAGCACTCAGAACCAGAGGGCTGTGGGAAGCAGGCTATGAACAGGAGAGGACAAGAACACAATCTGAAAACACTGAACAAAATTCAGGAAACTCACATTTCTCTTTCCTTTATCCATAGGGAACATTGTTTTTCTGCAAACAAGCAAAAACTAGGCAAAACCCTTTATATGTTACTTTTATTTTTCCTTTTTTTTTTTTTTTTTTTTTTTTTTTTTTTTTTTTTTTTTTTTTTTTTTTTAAGTGATCATGCTTTGTTCTTGGTTGTGGGCACAGCAATCATTTCGTCAGGCATGTTCAGCCCTCTTGCTGTATCTTAGGGGCCCTTGGGCAACTTTGTGTTACAAGAAACTAGTATATAATAACCGAGAGATGTCTCCCACTTCTTGTCATTGTCAGAAGAGACTATATTTTAAGAATTATTTTGCAGATGTATTAACAGAAATGGGAAAAGAAATGTTGAAGATTAGGTTGTACTGGAAGTTCCTGATTTCCATATCTTAAAAAGCAACAACTGAAGCATGTGTTAGACACTGTCATCATTAGCTGGTGAGTCATGTTATTGCAGGGATCCAGATAACAGGCTTTGATTATTGTGAGTCTGAGCATGGTGGTCAGAACTGAAATAACCTTGCTATGCTTGTTTTGAAAAGGCGTCATTTCAAGCAGAGGACTCTGTATACTTTGGGTACATGTGACCTTGAAATGAATTTTGAACTCTCCTTCTCTACTACAAAGTATTTCAATTATGCAAAACATTTCCTCCTTCCCACAGGAGAAAAGCAGTCACAATTTGTGGCAGTCACTATTTATGATATTAAATCAAACAGGTTTAATATAGGAGAACTTGTAGATTGGATGGGCAGTAATCTGTCCTCTTTAGGCTGCCAAGTGCTCTCTTTGCTATAAGTCCCAAAAGAGATAGAAGGAAGTCTCTATAGTTCATCAAAAACGCAGCCTTACACTTAGAGGGCAACCTCAGCTTCTTAAAGTCAATGTATTCGTAAGCCTCTATCAACCTGATAAATTGCAGGCAGGCAACTTGTGCCAGCCTGGGAAACTTGTAGTTCAGTACTGAAGCTGTATCTGTATGACACCTGCAGATTAGGTATCTGTATGACTACAGTGTAGTCTTCATTTAGAATCAGTGAACTCTAGCTGCGACTGATGCTGTAGGACTTACGGTCTCCTTTCTGTTTGCCCACGTCTTTAAGGAAGAAATTGGAGGTTGTTCTTCATAATATTGTTGGGAATTTTAATTAACTATTTGCACTAATACAGAGGACAAGATAACTGTACATAGAATTAAGATCGCTTCTCAAGTTTCTTTTGGGTCACCTGTACAATCCCAGTTCTTTATACGCCCTGTTTTAGATTGTTTTCTCCAGCCTAAGAAAATTACCTTTGGTGAGCTTCTTTTGGATTATTATCAAAATAGCAACGTAGTGTTTGAGAGTCACATAAAATGCTGAATTTTTCATTTCTTCCATTACAGCAGCTTTCCTCTGTAATCAAACGTTATCTTAAGAGTTCCAAACAGAAGCAGGGCAAAAAGCAGTTTCAGCATACAGATGTCATTATTAAAACACACTGCAATTGTAGTAAAAATTACTCCTTCCTCAAGCAACATAGGAAAACAAAGAGGGTATAGTTCCCAGGAATATGATAACTGCTGTATCCTTCTGGAAGAGAGCCAGCAAAAGCATTTGCAAGTCTGCATGCTACAGCTTACTTGAACACTACACTTCTTATAGCATTTGTCTTAAGTACATTCCCATGTCTCCAGGCACTTTTGTCAGCATTCAAATGGATCTCTGCAAAACAAAGATGAAATAAAAAAAAAAAAACAAACCAACAAAACACACAGCCATTTGGCCACCCAAAATAGCAGCACAGTAACCCTGAGCGCTGTGCACCCTACACTGGCTGTATGTGACATCTGGAAACCAGAGCGTGTGCTCCTGCAGCATTTGCTACAGGAATGACCTCTTCATTCTTTGATGATCTTTCACTGACTGCATGTCAGGATTACAAGTAGGCACAATACATCATAAAGGGACCACCTGTGTGTAAATCTACAAGAGAAAATGTACTTCTGAGACACTCAATCTTTTCTTTACAAGAGAGGCAGTGTGTGACAGATGTGCAATGCTAAGGTGCATAAGGCAACAAAATAGAGGTAAATTACCTCTGCACTGAGCAAATGAGTTTTATCAGAGAACTCAGGGTGTGTGTATTAGCCAACACAGAAAAGGTACTGCAATCTGATGATGACATCAGCGCTAAATGTAGCTAAATGTACTCTCTGATATTATATACATACCTTGCTACTATGGTGAGACCTTTCCTCTCATGTCCTTGCTCTGTGAGCAGTGACAAAAGCCAGGAGGGCAGATGCAAGCATAGACATATATAGCATGAGGCTATACAGGTTGGGGAAGAATTAAGTTCCTCCATGCAAACAGTGGATGACTTGCCCTATGAAATGCTCTGCTCATATCACTGCCTGCCATAAGGATGAAGAGAACATGACTTTAAAGTCACCAGCACCATATTCCTGTTCTGGAGCAGATAGCATGGTATTGCTGCCCCCAAGGACTGAGGTTTGATATATGCCCTACTCTGCTGTTCCCCTGGTGGGTCTCATCTGCTCTGATTTGAAAAGAAAAACCACGTGGAAAAAAACAAAATCCACATGTGAAACCTTATGTGGCCTGGAGAAGACCAGGGCTCATGAGAAATTCAGGGGCAGCGCTGGTCCAGGCAAAGCAGCTCTGCCATCTGCGGACCCCCAAGTAAAAACAGTACTTGCAAGATGAGCACAGGCAATTCATGTTCCTAAAAGAGCTCGCTGGCAAAGACTTTCCAATGCTTTATGACCTCCAATACCAGAAAGAGCCAAAGCACAAACACCTTAGCCTGCACCAGGCAAGACTTTGCAATCCAAGTAGGATCACATCAAAAGGCACAGAAAAATCTCTGCTATACACAGCATTAATTTTTTTTTTCCCTGAAGGGGATTAACTTAGTAAGAGCACGAAACTCTTGATTCAGTGCTTTCATCAAGGGGCCAGGGCTGGGGTGCACAAAAATTGCTGATAAAGTGTTCAGCTGAGGTATTGCAGATGCCCTCTTGTGCGAGAAGTCAGGTCTTGTGTCCCTGGAGAGCAGGGACTCCAAACCATCAGTTCCTCTCCTGAACCCTGCGCTGACAGTGGTGGGCTGAGGGACCACTCTGGGACCCCTGACCACACACAGCTGGGTACAGCTGGAGGGCACCACAGCTCCAAGTCTACAGAAGGCCAGAACAAAACAACGGGCAAAGCTCTTGCCTGCACCATCAGAGAGAATATGAGCCTCTGGCAGTTTTCTGTCAGTCAGCTGTAACTTTGCTCTGGGCAAAGAAATACCTTGATATGTCAATGTCCAGTCACTGCCTCTAGTAGGTGGTAGTAGGCACACTAGCTGTGAGATGTGAGGCTGTAATTAGTAAGAAGGAAAAAACTCCGTATTTCAATTCCTAGCATGTGAACTTGTGTTAGAGAAAACTGTTCTGTTCTCCACTTTGGAAGTGTTTCCATTTTTCTAATTGGTAGAAAGAAACCATAGATTTTTACAATATTTTTTCTATAGGTGAAAGAGAAAAATCTTGGTGCTTGGCATTGCAGCCTTTCTGCAGGTGTTGAGTAAACAAAGTGAGAGGAAGAATGTGAAAATTAAAATCTCCATGGTTCCCACTGTCTTCTCCAGCCTGCCCTTGCCTGCCTTGCCCTACCCCTTCCCTGCCAATTAATAGTATTACCACAGACTTCTTCAGCTCTTTTTCTTCCCAACACACAGTTTTTGAAATGGAAAGCTAATGAATCCAAGAAAAAGAAGACACTTGATTTCAAAACTGTATGTCATGAACTGAACCTTCTAAATCCTTGCTGCTGCTGGCATCTGTAGTTGTTTGAAGAGGAGCAAAAGGAAAAAAAATCCTATTCCCTTGACACTTATTACCCACTTTGTGTCCTTCTGGCTTTTTTCTAAGCTTGGATAGTGAAGTAGACATAGTTTCAGTTCATATGTAGCAATAATAAACTTCTCTCTGGTACTCCTATCCTTTCATTTTTTGTGCCCCAGACAACGTACAGGTATTGCTTACCTGTAGTTAAGAACTTGATTAACTGTTCAATAGAAACTGTCAGCATCCTTATCTGAACCAAGCTGGAATCTGGATACCATTAACTGGGCAGCAGAAAAGGGGCATCCACTAGAACCAGCCAGACTCCAGAGGATTCCAGGGGTAGGAGCCCAAAGGATATTCGCTACCAGAAAACATAGAATAAATGGAGGGCAGTGCATGTTGATTTGCTGTGCTCAGGGGAAAACAGAAGTAGACTGGTTATTTATTAGCCTTCAGCCTCATCCACCAAGCCCCTTAGCAGTGAAGTGTGCCAACATCAAGAGTGAGGAGTGGAGGGAGGACACCTGAAACATGGAAGATAGGTGAAACCTTCAGTCTAGCAGAGCAGACCTTGATGTCATGCATCCCTGGGATCTGTTCCATGTTGACCCTTTCCCTCCTGCCACCCAGAGAAGGAGGTGATGGCAGATGCAGGAATGAGTGGCAGTGACTGAGAAAGCATCACCAATCACCCCTGTATTTTAGAGAAGCCCCAAACATGCCATCACTGTTTTACAGCAAGCCCTGCAAAGGCCACAGCCCTCACTTTTGTGCAGGAGACTGAAACATCCTCTGTTCAACCTCCTCCCCCACCCCACAAGCTTCATGGGACCTTTCAGCCCCTCTTGCCACTTATTTAAGATCGGGTTCTGTCCAAAGGGATATGGAGGCCCCTTCCTTGCTCCTCTTCCAAAGCAATTCCCCACCCACCTCTGCAGTCAGGGACTCCCTCTGCTTTTCATGGAGGCCAAGTGAAATACAGCTCTTGGACGTGGGACCACACAGCTGACCAGGCAGCTGGCACATCCCCATGAAGGACCTGCCAGAAAAACTTCATTTCTTGTTAGGATCTTGGAAAATAAATCCCCTCTGGGTTTCCGTCTCAGATATGATACTGTCTGCCTGTGTTTATGCTGGCTGGAAATGTGAGGGGGCCCTCCCTGTGTGCCCCGAGCTGGAGGGGACTGCAGGAGAGCTGGAGTACAGGCAGTCCTCCAGCACCCTTCCAACACCTGCGGGTTGGCAGGTGAGGGAGACCCAAACCCTCAGTTTGAGAGCACTTTTGCTCTACAGATATGGCACGAAGGGCTCTTAAGCAATAACTCATGCTTGCAGCTGCTGCAGGGGAGACCTCAGACTTTCCACTGAGCTTGGCGTGAGAGCTCCCTGCAGCGCCAGGCCACAGCAGGGAAAGAGAAAAATTAAAATCTCTCCACAGGGTAACAACCCTGGTGGCTTGTGGTCTTAATTCCTTCCTTTGCAAAACAAACAGTACATGGTGTGATTAAGGGAGCTTTCTGGGATACACGTATTTGGACTCTTTCTTCCCTCCCTTGCCAAGCCCATGAAGAGCCCTGCAAAAGCTCTCTTGTATGTCATCAGCAACACGTTTTACCTAATTCTCCATTTTATGTCTTGCAGGTCAACAACTCCAGTATCATAACTGCACCGTGTAGAGCTAGGTCACCAGGTAGGATTTTTATGCCATTGTGGAAGCCAAGAATGAGAAACAAGGCGTGAATGAAGTTGCTAGAGAAGACTGCTTTTCAAAGAGTCAGATTTTGAGCCAGCACATCCTTGGGCTACCTTACTCTGCACTAGATTATTGTAACAAAACAACTTCTCCAGTTGAATGTCAGTGAGATCCCTTTGCACCAGCACTAACTTAGCTTTTGTTTGGTGCTTCTTCAAGCAGATAGCAGGTTATGATGCCAATTACCTGACTTGCAGGAAGACTGGAGCTTCGTCTCAAGCTCAGAACCACTGAGCGACTTTACATGAAGAAGGCAAACCGTTAGCATTTAATTCTAGGCTCTGGTTTTCCTTCTCATAGTTGTTGTAGGTGTGGAGAAAAAGAAAAGACCTCAGACACAGGCCCTCAGTTTTGCGCTGAGGTCTTCTGTGTCACCTGGGGAAGCTCCAGCAAGTATCTTCTCATAGGTTAACAGCAGCAGCAGTCATAAGTAGGAGGGGGACCCATGAAGAGCTCTGCCATTGCCCTGCAGCACTGCATTATCACAGGCAAGTCACCTCCCTCCCGTGCTTCCCTTCCAAAATTTATCCTAGTTGTTTACCCAGGTTAGGTGTTGTTCATCCATCTGCATCGATGCTTCACCAAGCACTTTGTCTCAGCAAAACAGGGTGTGCTTCTCATTAGCATCCATTAGGTATTTGCTTTTAGAAACGAGGCTCTTAGTCAACAGCTACAGCTGTATCTATTTGGTTATAGCTTTGAAAATCTCAGTACACTTGCCACTTCCCATGAATATTAAATTCAGTAAGGCTGCCCTCTTGAAATCACTGGTAAAGTAAAACATAAAGACTGGAAGATCCTGCTGATAACTGGGCAGCTGTGCTGCGTGCCATTGCTTGCTAGCTGCCCATTCCAGAGGAAAGCTGTGCTCTGGCAGGGCTGAAGTGCAGAGTTTGGCATCTGCACTCAGAGGCATTGGGGCTGATGCTGCTGACTCTGCTGTCATCCATAACCTCTGCTTGCAGGTCTGGGCAGGAGGAAGAGGTGAGTTCATGTTTGAGGAGACTGACCTGTCCCAAGAGTGATGGTATTTGAGGAGCAGAGTCCACNGTGCACAGACTGGACACAGCTTAATGCTACATCTGCTGCGTGTCCCAGACTCCCGACACAACCTCTCCTTTCTGTGGAGACAGCACCACGGCCCTGAAGGGTAAGAACAGTGCAGCCATGGGACTTACCCTGCTGTCATGCCAGGACAGAACCATGGGGTCCACTAGCACCCTGAGGGCTCAAAGGCACTCTTGGGCCTTCCTTTTGGCATGTTTATTACCTGAACTTTGTCCTCTGTTGGTTCCTGACCTATTTAACACTACTGTGGCTCACACGCTAGGAGGGTGAATTGCTATCTGCAATTAAGTTATATTTGCATTGATATCCTCATCATAAAGTCTGGAAGACTTGCAAGAAGAGTTAAAGCTGGTCTCACAGATTATCTCATTGCTTCAGGCTGGGGTGTAGAACTATGGAACCTTAAAAATGTGAAGTCTGCTAGTGGTACTTCATCACCTAAAACAAAACTCCTTTATGAGCTTAAAGCAGGATGTTTTCAAAGCTCCTCAAAAGGCTGATTAGAGACTTCACTCTATTCGTACACCCTTAATAGGAGAGATCACCAAATGTGGTAAGGAGTGAAATGTGTCGCTCACTTTCCCTCTTTGACAACTCCATCCAAAGACTTTTTGCACCCATGAAGTGTTAGGCTGGTTTGCCTATGTACACCTAAAGAATACGGTCTGGATTGGAACAACATCTCTATTTTCAGTTACAATATTAATTCTGCATTCATACGTTTGCACCAAGTCATTAAAAAAACAAACAAATAATTTAAAAAAAAAACAAAACAAAACACCACAAAAAAAACCCTTGTGGTGGTTTTGCACTCTTTTCTCTTCAGAGATGAGCAAGAGAAAGGTGTTCCTCTTGAGAGAAGGGGAGGAAGGAGTTAAGCATCTTTGAAACTAGCTGGGCACAACTGATGTCAGATATCTGTCTTACAATGACATCTATTTGCTTTCCCAGCAAGCAGTATATGGATCACTGGGCACTGCATTGTTTCAAGGATAGCAGAAGATGCCACATATCTTAGGAGAGGATAGATTTTCTCGCTCCTCCTTATTAGGTAGAAGCTCTGGTTTGTTAAATAACTTCAGAGTGGAACCCAATCAGAAACTCCAGGAAAAAAAATGGTTTTATTTTTTTTCACTTAAGTGTTGTTTCCTGGGTGTCTGTCTCTGATGGAATTGGCCCAGCTGTACTCTGTGCAGCTTCCTTGTGTCACTGTAATCATGTAATCAAAAAAACTGCAGGGGAGCAAAAGCAAAAATTCTTAATGTTTTTCTATTTGGGTATTTCAGATTATTACAGATATGATGACTTAGGGCAAAGTTAAGACAGGGACCTGTGAAAACAAAGTTGGCTAAGTTTAAACAGAAATGTAATGCTGAACTTCCCAAAACAGACCTGCTGGCTGAAACTCAGTTCTTATTGTAGGCACACCGAGTTTTTACATTTTTATTAAGTGGAAAGTCCTTGAGCTGGCTCTGTATTCATTTCTATGCATTTCCCACTTATTTTTATGTGCCTATATATAAATGCAGTGGCAGCAGGTAGGGACCCAGCAACACAGTGGATTAGCAGAGTGGAACTTCAAAAATAAGGTCCAGGAGGCATTTCCAAGTTTGGGGCAGGTTTCAGAAAAGCAATACTGGGCTGTAATGCCACAGTGCTTTAAATCTCCCAACCAAAAGCATGACTTTTGTCATTTTTGTATCTTCTTTGGAGGAAAAAGTCAAAGGGAGCTGCCCTCCACGTCGGCACAGGGAGCCAGCAGCTCCGAGGAGCATCACAGCACAGAAATGCAAGTACTCACCTGTCATCAGCGTGTAGTAATTTGGGTAGGAGAGGCTGGGGAAGTCTGGGGTCATGTAATCCACCTTCACCCCCATGTTCACAATGTCCCGAAAGCCCGGCAGACCCTCCAGCTCGCTGTCATCGATGTAGTCGAAGCGAAAGCCGTCGAGCAGGAATACCAGGAGCTTGCGGTGGGCCGAGGGGGCGGCGGGAAGAGGCAGGAGGGCGGCGAGGGCAGCGGCCAGGAGGGCGGCGAGGAGGCTGTGGTTCCCCATGGCAGGCAGCAGAGAGGGATCTGCGGCAGCTCCGGGGCCGGACCTGGCACTGCTGTCCCTGTCCCGCTTCCAGCGCCCGCGTTAAAGCTACAGCGCTGCCCCGCGCCGCGGGCGTGGGAGGTCACAGGTTAATTACAAGCAGATGATTAACCTCGAGCTGAGCGAAGAGCTCGATATTTCCCAGCTGCAGGAAAAAAAAAAAAAAAAAAAAAAAAGCTTCGCAAGGATGGGGAAAACACAGACACAAAAGTAACTAGAGGCTCTAGGGACACTGGGCTGACACACCCGAGGAAGGCGAGCGAGGGCACACTGCCCGTGGCCCCGGTGAGGAGGGGCCCGGCGCCCGGCCACGCTCCCAGCGCTGCCTGCACAGAGCGGAGCCCGCTCCGCCGACACACAGCTCCGCTTCGGGGCTGCGGCTGGCAGAGGTCTCACAGAGAGGGGCTGCTTGCTTTAAGAGAGAGCATTACATCTCCAGCCACGTGAAGGTGCGCTTTCTTCTCCTGTCTCCGGCAGTGGCTTGCAGTAGAAACTCAGGCTGAGATTAAGGCAAAGAGTCTCTCCAGTTGGGAAGTGTCGTTTGTGAGTTGAGGTCCAGTGTTTCAATGGCACCGCCGTGCCGCAGAACACCAGCTGAGCAAGCTCACCTACACAAGGACACGAGTCCCTGCAAAGGACCCTGTCCTCTCTGCTTCCTCTGTGCTGCACTGGGACTAATCCAGTTCTCTATATTAATATTAGATATTAGATATTAAATGCTGGATGATGCCCAATTTCATATTAAAAATGAAAAAAACGTTCACATTTAAGTCACAAGTCACTGTGAGGTTCTTCTCCTTCACAGGAACCTAACTATACCTCTAATGCAATGCCAGCACCTGCTGCACACCACAATTGCATATCTCACTAAGCGTTTTGTTTTTCCCAAATTGAAGAATTTCATAGTATTTATAATGTTGTCTCACACTGTGGGAAATGCCCTTTGCAGATGTTTACACCTGGGGAAGGTTGCGATAGCTGGGCACCAGCCCACTGTGGATGTCTGGACTTCTGTTTGCTTCTTCCAAAGCTCCCAGTTGCACATCCAGCATGTCCAGTTGCCTCTTAGCAAACACCAGGCTGATGCAATCTCAGCAAGATGGCTTTCAGCCCCCTTTGCCCCAAACACTTACTCACCCCAGTGCAAACCCCCTCATGTCCTGGCTTGCCTTTTGCACAGTACTGTACTGTGTGCTGGTGCCCATAAGCCAGAGCTGCTGCCTGCAGGTCACTGCTCCCAGGGTATGGCTGGAGAGGTGCTGTCCCTGCCTTTCTCCTATGAGGCTTCCAGCTCCAAAAACAAGATACCCCACCAAGGGAAGGGGTGCTGGGATTTTCTGTAGGAGGGAGTCATTGCAGGCATGTGGAAGAGGATGGAGTGTGAGCCTGCAGTGGAGCAGAACTGCTCAGGCCCTTCAGATGCCTGTGCTTGTGTTAATCTCCTCAGTAAAATTCCTCACACTTCCTCTCTACCAGTGAACTAAATTCATTCTGCGTGGACATCTCCCTCTCTGTGACTCACTCAGCCATGCTTTTTCTTCCCTTTTGTTTTTTTCCTACTCCCATCTTGGAGCCCAGCACTTGGGACATACCCTCACATAAGAGTTACACCTGAGAAGAGGACTGGGAGCATTTCTAAGCTCTGGTCCAAGGATCTTTAGAGCAACACAGGGAACTAGCCCCTCAGGGCTTTATCCCTCTTCACATAGCATTTATTTTTGAAGCCTTGCATTGCTAGCTATCATCAACTTGACAACTTTAATTCTATGTTTTGACTTTTCTTATCTTGCTTGGCTTTAGTTCACGTGTTTTCTCACAGTGCAGCAGCAATTTTCCCAGCAAAACCAACTGAGGGTCACACAGCCGTGCTGCACCTCGTGTCAGAGACAGCTGAGCCTTGGGACCATCTGTAAAGTTCCATGCCCAGAAGGACATCTGGACTGTGGTCCCCAGTCTGCTGGGATGATAACAGGTCCCCGTCCCTTGAGCAGATATTGCCTGGGAGAGCCAGGCGGTACTGCCATGCTCTAGCCTGAACTTTGAAGGAAAACACACAAATCCTGCCGTGAGAGGGAAAGCCACAAGGCTGCGTGACCCGGGCAGCCGGTCTGTGTTCCCAGGGCGTCCCAGTCTGTGCAAGGCTGCTACTGCCCTGCCCGCAGGGGATGAGGCTGCAGCTGCACGCCAGGCTGCTGGGCGACGTGACAGCCTGGGCAGTGGTGTGGGCAGCTGCCTGCCTGAGGGACAGCACGTGCTGTGTGTCACACCTATGCAGAATCACCACTCTGCTCAGTTATCTCCAGATTCAACGGGGTCTCAGCTGAGGATCTGCCACTTCATCCGCCTCCAGGAGGGAATATGCACGTCCTCCTCCTGCTGTCCCTCTCTGGACTTGCAGAATGGGACAAGGCCCTGCAGAACCCGTGCTCAGAGACAGCACTTCTACCAGTGCTTACAGTGGATTTTCACTAAAGCAAAAAATGTATGCTATGGGCTTGGAGCCACCTGTAATGTCATGTCTTGGTCAAGCTACTGTGGTAATTTATTATGTCCATACATATGTTGAATGAATTCAGAAACATGTCCAGAAATGCATTTATGGTAGAACTCTTGGCAAACCCATGAGGACGTTCACACTGATGGCTTGTCTTGTCCTCTAATGGGTGGCTTCTGGGCTAATCAGCAGGACTCAGCAGAAACAACCGGTGCTGCCCATGAAGGAACGGGATAAAAAAGGAGAGATAACAAAGTGTACAAAATGGACTTCCACCTTGAAAGGACGACCAGCTGTTTGAGGTGGTTAGACCAAGAATTCAGGCTTCCATCATGAGATGGTACAAAATATATGTCTTCTTAACATTTCATGGCATTAAGAAACAATGCCTTCCTTTCAAAAGGTTTGCAATCTTCTAGCTCTCTTCTAAGAGAAAGCTCTACCTGAAATGACACGGTGACATGAGGGACAATTGGTGCAAAGTACCAGAGCTCAAGATCTGCTTTAAGAATTGGAGGTTCACAGGTTTCCACTCAACAATAACAGAAGGATAAGGCCTGAGAGGGGTTAAAGGACCAGAGAGCCAAGTAACCATGACGCTGTATAATACCAACTTGTGTTTTGACAGACAATCCCCCTGAAGAGTGGGACTGGAGCCAAATAGTCTAGCTTGGCAGAGACAGACCCTAGCAATATATTTCATCCCTGCCAAGCAATGTTGATTTGCTTTGGTTCACATTCATTTGTAAGCACCCTGTCTGCACAAAGCCCCAGATGGCCGTGGGGAATCCAGCACAACAATATTTTGATACAAATGCTCTTACAAAAGCTATCAGAGCTTGAGCTGGTGTCCAGGGACAATAGTCCTCACTAGTTAGCTGTTAGACTGGCTTTAGAAAGAAGCATGCATAAAGGAAAGAAAATCCTTCAGTTCAATTTGTACATGAGAAGACACCCCATTTTTCCAAAATTTGTTTGAGAAAAGATCCTCAACCACTTAGATTGCTCAAGAAATCTTCTTAGTAAAAACTGTCTCCAGTGTCCTTGAATCTTTTTTTTTTTTTTTCCTGGTCCTACAGAATTCACAAGCACAGCAAGAGAAATGAAAGAAAATTCTCTGGGCTCACACTGACAGTTCAGTTTGGCTTGTCAGATGTACCAGCCTTCCCAGCAGCACAACTCTATCTGTGCCCTTAGGTCCAGAAGCACATGGAAGAACAAGAGCTGCTAAAAGTAAAACATGGTTTCCCTTTACCGCAGTGAACTAGAAAAGCTAAAAGGGAAACTTGTCCTTCTTTCTCTCATGAGAGAAAGATAAGAAGTCATAGCATGACTCATTGTCAGTTGGTAATTCCTTTTCAATTCTTATTCTCCTTCACATGCAATAGTAGCTGGACACTTTGGCCAACGCAACCTGACTTCTCATTAGAGAAAGCAGCAGATCACCTCCAGACATAAAAGTCTTGAGTTGCTTGCATTTCTCTGAAGAGGAGGAAGAGGATTTCTGCCAGTGTAAATTTTTAATTCTGCTGGATGGACTAAGGTCCTTCTTCCTCTTCTCCCCACCAGATCCAAGATGAAAAAGGCACGGGTGGAACCAACCCCTCTGGTGACTTCCACAGAAAAGTTCTGGTGATATGGATCATGGGTATCCACTTTCTGAGCGGACAGAATGTCTTACCTTGGTAGAAGTCGTTGGCTGCAGGCGTTTAGTATCAGTTTCATTGCTCCTGCACTGTGCATTCTCACTGGTGCTTCTGCATGGAGGTCTGCCACTAGGCAAGGCATCTGCTGCTCCTTCAGATCTTCTTGGATGATATTTTATGCCAAATCAGTTATTTCTGTGGTGTGCAGTAGTTCAGTCATGAAGAATTCAAGCCAAAGAAATAGGTTGCTCTTGCTGTCAGTCATGAACAGATGTATATGATAAAGTCACACGCTTGTTAGCTACAGAGAATTTCAAGCATTTCAAAGGTAGAAACTGCAGTTTTCTTGGAGAAAAGTGGTGATCTTTCACTGTTTCTGGAGGCACAGTTTACCTCTACCCTACTCAGCTGGTATGAGACTTGCCTTACTGTAAACATTCACACGCTGGATAATCAGTACATCAAAGTGGGACAGCGACCACGCTGATTGAGAGCCAGAGGCTGGTTAATGTTCTTTGAAGTGTCTCAGTTCAAGTAATTGTGTTGTTTAGAGAGCAGCTGTCCAAATCTCTTACTGCATCTTTCACTGCAACAGTCATGAGTCATATTAAAACTTTTCTAGTTGAGGAATATCTACTGGAGATGAAGAAACTTGAACCAGTGGAGACCCCTAAATGGCTCCCTGTTTCCTTGCAAGAAGCTTCATGGGCTTGGTGTATCATTGTCAGCACTGGCCTGTGAATGCTCCCTGACAACGTCCACACTTGGGAACAGGCTGTGCTTTCATTAAATGAAACTAGAATGAACAAAGAAGGTGGCTCTTCACACCATAGCACCATTCAGGTGTGCAAGGTT